TCTGTCCTGACTCTGTCTGCCCTGACTCTGTGTATGTCTGTTCTGACTTTGTCTGTCTGCTCTCAGTGAACAGCCTGGGGATCAGTGACGAGCTGAAACAGAAGCTGCAGGATGTGATGGTGGATCGCCACAAACTGACCCTGGGCAAAACACTGGGGGAGGGTAGGTGCTCTGTACACCTCTTCCCATCCCTCTCTCTATCTCACTCTCAATTCCCTCTCCCTCCACACCTTGATCTCCCCACTGCTGCCTGTATAATAAATTAACCCTAAGAAGGGTAAGGCACTATATTCTTCTCTCTCTGTCCCCTTACCTCTTTACAACAACCCAATAAACAGTCATACAGAAAGAGAATAATACACCTCTCATTCAGTCTCTTTCTCCATCCTTAATATTACAGACTTAACATTGTTTTCACCCTGCTAGTTTTATTACTAAGATGATGGTTATTATGCTCAAGGTGGGTATTTATTACTACTAAGAATATTATCAGGCGGGTGATTAGCATTGCTCTTTCTTTCCCCAGGGGAATTTGGGTCAGTGATGGAGGGCTTACTGTCTCAGGAGGAATTTGTGCTCAAAGTCGCTGTCAAGACTATGAAGAGTGAGTATCTGTACTCGTCCCTCTCTTTCTCTTCTTTTCTCCCCCCATTTGTCTCTTTTCTGCAGGTTGTGTTCCTGCACAGGCTTTTGTACGATATCTATTCATCCCTTATGTCCCCCTTCTCCTCTGCCACTTTCTGTCTCCCAGTCGCGATCTGCACCCGCAGCGAGATGGAGGACTTCCTGCGAGAGGCGGCCTGCATGAAGGAGTTCGACCATCCCAACGTCATGAGGCTGATCGGTGAGAGGCGGCCGGGCAGGGGGCAGGGAGGGAGGGACTGTGTGAGTGTGCGTGAAAGAGTTGTGTACATGCCTTTCCCCTCCTATGTGTCCTATGTGTCTCGGACTCTGCCTCAGTGTGATGGCTTCAATTGGGCTTTTCCCAACCTCAACCCCACCTCTCCGCACAGGGGTGTGTCTGCAGACTGTGGAGAGTGAAGGCTACCCCTCCCCTGTGGTCATCCTGCCCTTCATGAAGCACGGAGACCTGCACAGCTACCTGCTGTACTCCCGACTGGGGGACTGCCCTGTGGTCAGTACCCTTTCTTATTTTAGTTTTGCGTTGAGCCTTTTGGTCAGTACCCAGTACTATACCATACTGCACTGCTCAGCTACCTGCTGTATTCCTACAACTGCAAGACTATCCTGTGATCAGTACTCAACACTATACTGTATTACATTACAGCTGCCTGGTCTATCCTCAGTTGTGAGTCCTGTGGTCAGTACTCTATGCGATACAATATGGCACAGCTGCCTGCTTAAGACTGCACTGTCGTCAGCGCTCAACACCATACTTTGCTATTAAGCAGAAAGGGGGTGAGGATAGACTGCCCTCTGCTGGAGAAACGTGTGGGTGCACCTAACTCTCTCAACTTTCCCTTTCAGTACTTGCCCTCTCAGATGCTTGTGAAGTTCATGACAGACATCGCTCGGGGAATGGAGTATCTCAGCAGCAAAAACTTCATCCACAGGGACCTGGCAGCCAGGAACTGCATGTAAGCATTGCTTTTTCACATTCAGACTCCCACTGCACAGCAGTCTGAGCCTTTTCGGGTTTTACCAGCGCAACTTTATACCGTATTTTTAACAAATCTGTGGATAGTAGTCAAAATAATAACCCTCTGTAGTGTGATGATGAGAATCACAGTATGCAAAGGTAACAGGCTGTAGAAATTAAAACAGGTGAGCTGCCAGGGAAAAGCTGGAATTGCAGACACTGAACACTCTCTCTGCCGGGAGGCAGGTAGTGCGCTGCTCATGAGCCCTCTCTCCCCCTGCAGGCTGAACGAGAACATGACGGTCTGTGTGGCAGACTTTGGCCTGTCCAAGAAGATCTACAATGGCGATTACTACCGCCAGGGCCGCATCTCCAAGATGCCAGTGAAGTGGATCGCCATAGAGAGCCTGGCAGACAGAGTGTACACCACCAAGAGTGACGTGGTGAGCGCTGTGTGTATAGGGTGTTGATAATGTGTGTGCAGAATGTGTGCTGTGCATGTGGAGTTTGTACACAATTCATGCAGTGTGTAGGTGCCTGTGTGTAATGTAGTAATAATGGCATTTGCCAAGCAGTTTTTATCCCAAAGCTCTTTACACATGGGGGGGACCCAATTCTTCCACTACTGAAATTACTTCTTTAATTGAATGGAGGGGTATCTTTAGGTAGGCCAGATTGCACACTGAACACTGGGTTTACACCTTAACAAGCAGTGCCGTGTGATTTTGTAATGTCTGAAGGGTGGCTCCTCCCATCTGTGGGTAGGTTACTGCTGTGAAAAGTCTGGTACAGAGTGAAGACTACCACCTAATGGTGCAACCGGGTTTTCTTAAGAGGTCTAAGAAAGGCCTTCCATTTCCACTGATCAGCCCATCCTTGCTGA